TGTTCCCTTTATTAAACATTCTATGCATGTTCCTTTTATTAGAAATTCTATTCATGTCCCCTTTATTAAATATCGTATACCAGTACTATTAGGCGACCAACCTGTCTAAAATCGCAGGTAAAATCGACAATGTGTAAGGTTTAAAAACTGAACTTCTAGTTCAACTCTACAATCACCTTGATGTCTAATCGAAGAATATCAATTTTTTAATGACTCCACGGGCTTTCTTATTAATATAAAAAAATCAAAACAAGTAATTATTATTTCTTTGTTTATACCGTGTGGTGAAGGGGTGGGGGTAGATTGTAATAGAGATAGTCAGACACCACACCGGCTGTCACATACATATCGACTAATTTTTTTTTTATGTTAGGTACTGTTGTGTGGGACATACTTTACCCCACGACCTAGAGAATACTATATGTTGTTTTCTAATACTGCGGTAGGTTTAATTTAAAAAGTCAGCTTTTAACAACCTTAACCCTACTCCTGTTTCTTTATGGTTTTTTATTTGTGCGTTTTTCGCTATTTTTAGACACCCCCCCCCCCCCCCCCCCCCCAGCCACGTACCCTTCCCCCTTAAAAAAATATCACCACGCCCCATCTAGCGAGTGTTCATTGTGTGATGTAATTTAACCTCCAGCTAAATATTATTTTATTTTCCACCTCATATTCAAACATCAAACAGACGTTCAGCCAGCCGTGGAGGCTGACTAATACGATCGCTTATTCATTTGCCTTGCTGAGTGTTAGGTCATGTCAATATGTTTTGTATCCAAAATCGAGCACATCCTTTTTTTAGCCGCAGCGATTGCTGTGGACTTTAGCAGCACAACACAGCCCCGTAACCAGATCAAGGCCACCGTGTTGTAACGCCTGCCGTGTGTGTAATCGTGCCACGATGAGATAAACCTTTGTCCTTTTGCTGTGATAACGTCCCCTGTTTCTTAATACCGGTAATGGCCTTGCATCTGTACCGCCTAACACATTCCTGCCAATCAAAGAAATCTCGAGAAACGGTTTTTTAAATATATTTTTTCTGCCCACAATTATATTTGGCTTTCGTTATGTAGGCCACCATTTTTGTTGTTTACGTCACAAGGTGACTCCCAACTTGATTTACGTTGTATTACTGCTACATACCAGGATCATCTGATAGTGTTGTCTCATAAAAAACAATCTATTTTTTTTTATCATTATAATTACTTTGTTGCATCTGATCTTTATAAAAAAGAAACAAAAAATATTATTATAACGATATTGTCTTTTTGTTAGATTTCTTCCTACTAGAAAGTCATTTTGGTTATTTCTAAACAGTTGCTTTGAAATAAAAACCCTCTTATTTAAATTTTAATCTTTGTAAACATTTTAGTTGGTAATCAGTTTAGATACCATTTAAGTTGTAGAGTACCATTATGTTACCCAAATTATTTAACGTAATGAGTATGTCTATTCTTATTCTATAACACTGATTATTAACACAGTTCTGACCATGTTTCCCACAGGGGGAAAGGGGAGGGGAAAGTTGTCCTTATGTGACATCAGGTAATTGAACCACTCCTCCCACACCCCTCCCCTCCCACACCCCTCCCCCATTGTCACACTGTCACAAATACTATTATCTATCCCTTCTCCTATGATACAGGCATTATTATGATGTGACTTCATGTAATTGAACTGCTCCCCCACCCCTTCCACACCCCTCCCCTCCCACACCCCTCCCCTCCCACACCCCTCCCCCATTGTCACACTGTCACAAATACTATTATCTATCCCTTCTCCTATGATACAGGCATTATTATGATGTGACTTCATGTAATTGAACTGCTCCCCCACCCCTTCCACACCCCTCCCCCATTGACACTGTCACAAAACCAGGATCTATCCCCCCCCCCCCCCTCCTATGACACAGAATTATTATGATGAAAACATTTTTTTTTCATCCTGCAGGTGTATATTTTCTGGTAAAAAAAAAAATTCAGCTACATTAGATAATTCCCCCCCCCCTCCCCCCTCCAAAGTATCATGTCTATAACCTTCCCTTAGGTGTGTTAAGCATATCCTAAATACATTTCAAGGGATTTTTAAAATGGGAAATACATTTTTTTGTGTTTAAATTTCAATTAACCAGTGTAAAGGGGTGGCTTACACAAATTCTATCCAGGCTTATGGCCTGGATCAAACAAGAAAAATGGATGTGATAATGAGTTTAAAGATTAAATTCACCAAGATGAAAATATGCAGGCCAGGGATTAAATAGTGTCAAAGAAATCTAGCAGTTTAAAATTTTATTCTTAATTAATTTTTTTTTAAACTGCAAACCCAAGGTATACAAATAATTTAATTTTCTAATTAAGTTTCTGCTGCTGAAAAATGATATTCTATTTAATTTTTTTCAATTTAAAAATGACATAGATGATATATCATTAATATGAAACTGAGTGTTGCAATGCTAGGGGTGGGGAGGGGGTAGACAGATCTCAAATAACTAGTTTAACTGCCTGGTTAAGATGTGAAGAAATTTGAGCAGTTCATTAATGTGTGGATGATGTAGAAAAAAAATACAAAAATCATAAAAAAATTAACTAAAGATTGATAGAAGGATTTAAAATAATTTTTTAACTGCTAAACTAAGTTCAACTTAGCTCTGACTAGTATTTTCTAATTTCTTTAAGTTATGTTTTTATGTGAGCTTAAACTCACTCTTTTTTTTAAAGTTTAATTAGACCTTTAATTAATTATATTTTTTAATCCATTTCTTTTTACATTTTGCTTGAAAATCTCTTTATGAGACAATTTAGACCTTGATTTGAAAGTATTTATGTAGAGAATATCACTGGTGACATTCTGTTTGATATTATTATGTTGTTTATTAAACAGAGCTTTGAAATAATTTATGTAAAAAATATCATTGGTAACATCATGTTAGATATTATAATGTTGTATATACAACAGAACTTTGAAATAATTTAGATAGAGAATATCATTGGTAACATCATATTTGTTAATACTGTTCATAAAACAGAACTTTGAAATAATTTATGTAGAAAATATCATTGGTAACATCGAGTTTGATATTGATATTGATATTGCTGTTCATAAAACAGAACTTTGAAATAATTAATGTAGAGAATATCATTGGTAACATCGTGGTTGATATTATAATACTGTTCATAAAACAGAACTTTGAAATAATTTAGGTAGAGAATATCATTGGTAACATTGTGTTTGATATTCTAATGTTGTACAAGAAACAGAACTTTATTTTACACGACTGAGTTTGAATTAGCTGACTCACATGAAATATTAAGCTTCATTACACTTGAGTTTACTGCCTTAGTATTTCTTCCACTGTATAACTTTAATCACAGCTGTGTTACTTGCTACTTTAAAGTGTCATAGAAAGGAGATTACTTTGTTAAATTTACCCTCTTACTTTGATGATGGTTCATTTGATGCACTTTGAATATTACTTGGGTGTTCTATATGTGTGTTACTTAAGTAAAACTGTTACTTGTATGACCCATATTTTGAATGTTACTTGGCTGTCATAATCCAATGATGCGTTACTTAGGTAAAGCTGTTTTTAAAAATGTGTTACTTAAATACAATTGTTATTTGTGTGTTCCATTCTAAAGAGGAGTTACTTAAGTAAACCTGACAGTTACTTGAGTGTCCCCAATAGGTATAGTTTAAGTCAACTGACTGTTACTTTAAAGTTTCACATTAAAGCCGTGTTACTTAAGTAAACCTGACTGTTACTTTGGTGTCCCACACACACAAAAAAGTTAGCTAAGTAAACCTGATTGTTACTTTGGTGTTGGCCACAAAAACAAGTTACTTAAGTAAACCTAACTTGGGTGCCTCACAGAAAAAATAAGTTACAAAAGTAAACCTATTACTGGGGAGCCTACACTACAAATGAGTTACCTAAGTAAACCTGACTGTCACTTGGGTGTCCCACACCAGAGCTGTGTTACTGAAGTCAACTTGACTGAATTGATGGTGTGATATTTGAGTCAGGCAACACCAGCCCAGTCAGCAGTTACCTGTGTAGTGTAACTGCACATAGCTATGACATTATCTGGCCCACTGCTCTCTTAAAGCTTTAGAATGGATTCTCTGTGTGTGCTGTATGGCTTAGAATGTCTTAGAAATGTTACAGGGGACATTACTCTGCTGAAACTTGGGCAGGGGGGACGACCTTGACGTATGGTAAAACATGTGTCTTAATTTTTTTATCTGCTGTAAAAATAGAACCGATATCTTTGCTTGATTTGTTAAAAGTGATATTTCTCTAATTCTTTATGTTGACAAGGATTCGTGTGAAATTTAAATTCTTGTGGTGTAAAACAACTTAGCAAGATTTAACAAGAATTTCGAAGATTATTTAGGATTTACATGTCATAATATTTTAGCAAAACTTCATAAATGTTGACAAAATTATGAAGGCTAAAGATTACCTTTAAATTAAGTTTTAAATTTGTCATAATTTCTAAAAGTGAACATCAATACATTTACTGTGTTTTAAACTGCCTAGAAAGATAGCATATATATTTTAGTTAACCAATAGTTACATAATATAACACTTGATTACATAGTATTTCACATTGAGAATGCTGCTGTATTTGTAAATACAAGTAACACATATCTATTTTTGGTTTAGGCCTTCTTACTCTCATCTTAACTTAGGAAGTTTATCAAACCATCTTACCAGTTTGATTCCCTGCAGCTTTTGACTTCAGTTTTTCTTAAAACCAGCATCACATTAAGATTGTATCTACCTGATAGCTAACTCAAGTGCTTTATTCAACTGTTTTAACTTTAATGGTTCTTCAACATTTTTGTCTCACTCTCTGTATATTGACACTAAAAATAAAAATAGTAATCCATCTTAACCTGAGTATTTTTTTTAAGCTGATTGTAAATTTGGCAGTGTATGTATTTTTATTGATCACCCTTCTAGTACTTGATGCTCATTTTTTTTTTTTTTATTTCAGATGACATCATGTAGTTGATGTGTCTACAGCAGATTGATCTGGTATTGTCTTGGTGGATTACTGTGTAAGACAACTCAGTCAAGATTTCTAAAATAAAACGTCAACCCAAGGTCAGTTAGTTCACTGGGGTCATATTGGTGTTGATTTTTTAAACGACCATTTACTTTTAGATTTTTTTAGATTTTGTAAACTTACTATTGTTTAAATCATGGTACTATTAATCCCTTGTATGTAATCAAGCCAATTTTTTCTAATAACATTGAAATCTTTGTACAATTACTCATTAACCAGTTAAATGTAATCCAACCTTATTTTTCTCTAGTATTACTTTCTTTACCCAGGCACTAACCCCAACCATAGCCCTAACCATTATACTGATCTCAGGTCTGAACCTAACCTTATTCCAAGTCAGAGCACTTACAGATATGCAACATTGGGAGACTAGTATCCTGCTGGTGGTTTTACACAACCAAAATCTGTTATATATGGTTACCATACTACTTGTTGGTTCTGCCTAGATTTAGGCATGCACCTTGGGTCTTGTCCAAAATAAGCCCCACAACCAATGCGAAGTTTAGCCCCACCAATTGTGAGCTATTTCAGATGTTTACGCATTTAAATTTTTAAACGCACGCCAAAAAAACAACTTATCCGCCTTTAGGTTTAGGGTTGTTGTTAGGGTTAAAGGAACCAAAATACAGGCTTTCTCGTGCAAATTATTTATGACGTGTCCCAATCCCACCCTCTTCAGTAAAATCCTATGGTACGCGTTTTATATCCACTTTTAATAATGTTTTTTGGGTGGTAGGAGTTAACATTTTGGCGTTCCTTATCTGGACATGATCCCAAGGCACATGGGGCAGATGAAGTAGAGTTCATCTGCTTCAGAGGCCTCGGCATATGAATGGATAGTGCTGTCTGGGCTATGCCCAGCTGCCTTTGTTTCCCTAACATAAGTTAGGTACCCACCAGAGTTGGGTGGACTCAGGGACATTCCACTGATTTGAACCTGGATTCGAACTCAAAACTCTCTGCGTGGCAATGTAGCTCTTTACCGCTAGGCCACACCGTCCCATGCACATAGCCATCTATATTCCATTTATTAATCATAATCGGTGTTGTAATTATTGGAGCCACTCTATTGCATAAAAGCTGATGTTAAAAATATTTAATAACTACCACACAACTGATGCTGTTAATATAATTTGTTCTCTAGAGAAAAATGAATAAACTTTGTAGTTTTGTAATTGTCCAACTCTCACTAGTGTTGATTGTAATGTGTGTAACTCTTGAGTGTGAAAGTTAGATTTGATGACTGTACCAGATTTTGTTTCTCTGAACAATTGGCCAGCTTGGCTGTATAATGTGTGTAACTCTTGAGTGTGAAAGTTAGATTTGGTGACTGTACCAGATTTTGTTTCTCTGGACAATTGGCCAGCTTGGCTGTTTAATGTGTGTAACTCTGGAGTGTGAAAGTTAGATTTGATGACTGTACCAGATTTTGTTTCTCTGGACAATTGGCCAGCTTGGCTGTATAATGTGTGTAACTCTTTAGTGTAAAAGTTAAATTTGGTGAAGATTTGGTGACTGTACCAGATTTAGTTTCTCTGAACAATTGGCCAGTTTGGCTGTTTAATGATTTCGTGTTCCTCTTTCCCAGAGAGTTCGCCTTAGTGCAAGCACTAATGGTGATGGCGGCCATGGACTCTGACGATTCCTTGGGGGTGAGTTCTTTTATTTGTTATCTCTGGTGTGTTGGATGGAGGGGGTGGGGGGGGGGGGGTGAATCGTCTGGCGGACTGAGAAACGAATCTTGGATGGTGGAAAAATCTTGGGTGGTGGAGGAATATTAATTGATGTACGAATCTTGGGTGGTGACGTAATATTGAGTGATGGATAATAGCTACGTCTAATCTCTGTCATCTCGATTATCTGTAAGACCAATGGCACAGTTCCCGGCCATGAAATCTAAGTATAAACTTAGATTTTTTTAAACACCATTTACTCACGTGCATTTTTTGAGCAGGGGTTTGTCTGTTTTCCAGTTCAAGCTTGGTATAGTCTAAAAACAACTGGCTATGTGGATATTGTAAGGAAAACGTTTTTTTTAAAGTGAAAAACAAATTATCACGACACAGCTGGCTACTGGGTGTCTTCATTTCATATGGCCTGCGTGTGTGTGATTCAATTCTTCTAGAATGTTCGCCTTGTAGGGGAGTGTTATCAGGGGAGACGATTGGATCTTGTCTGCAAGATTTCTGGGGCATGAGGGAGGGAATACTACCGAGGGGTGGGGACAATTGTCAGGAGGGGGGTGTGGAGACAATTGTCGATGTATAGGTCTGATGACAAGTGGTGGGGACCACTACCGAGGGATGGGGGACATTTGTCAGGTGGGGGGTGTGGAGACTTCTTCTTCTTCGTTCTTAATTATTAGTGTTGAAGGGGATCGAGATTTATCTGCCAGTGGGTTTGAACTCGAGACTGTTCGAATGTAACCATGAACTTTTTGCCGACTCGACCACGCCTCCAACACAATTAAGCGTTACGTGTCAACTGGTTTTGCGCCATTGAGGCCATTGACTCCGATTTCAGCCTGCTTTTCTTTTTGGATTTGCTTCCATAGCCTTTGTCCAACCAAGAACAAACTACAAGGCAGCAGTTGTTTAATTTTGGAGTTGTCTCTCCTAGAAGAGTGGCTGTCCCCAGCTAACGAGCCTCATCTGCCCGAGGGTTCGAACTCGAGACTTTTCGGTTTACCGACTCGACCACGCCGACCCCCGGTGTGGAGACAATTGTCGATGTATAGGTCTAATGACAAGGGGTGGTGACCACTACCGAGGGGTCGGGATAATGCCGATGACTGGGAATAGCTGCTGAAACGTGGGGATAAGATTTGGGAGAGGACGACAAATACATTTGGGACTATTGCTGCTATTTGTTTTTTTTTTCCTTAAATGTATAATTTGTTTTAGGAATGTAGTATTCTTAAAAATATATACTTTGAGGAATGTACTAGCGTTTTGCTAGATTTTTTATTTAAGCGTATACTTTGATCGCGGAATGTAGTACCGTTGTTGCTAGATTTTTTATTTAAGCGTATACTTTGATCGCGGAATGTAGTACCGTTGTTGCTAGATTTTTTATTTAAGCGTATACTTTGATCGCGGAATGTAGTACCGTTGTTGCTAGCGTTTTCCCCATGCATACTTTAAGCGCTGTTTCTTCCTCCTCTCCACGCTGGTGTAGCCGAGGTTCGAGCTGATGCAGTGCATGCCAACTCTATTCCTTTTCTCACCTGTCGGGCCATCCTCGTGTCAAGGGCATGGGTCTTCACGCAAGCCATGTTCTAAATTAGCCAGTTAACATTCTTAAGACGGCTAATACCCCACAGCTTTACGTAACTTGAAGAACACATTAAAATGCATGTTTTGTGAATTTACCTTTAGATTGGTTAAGGTAAATGAAATACGAATTTTTTTATACTTAGTAACAGAATCCGACCTGAAGCGGAATTTTTTTTTTTTATTGAACCCAGTTTAAATTGAATTGGAATGAATTTTAACTTAACTATTGAACTTTGAAAACTGAAACAGATCAGTTATGGGTTTTTGTTTTTTAAATATCCGCAAGAATATATTCTACATAAGGGTTTGGTCCAAGTTATATTATATTTGAATTGATTTTAACTTGATTAACTAATGAACTATGAAAACTTATAATAGAACAATTCTTCTTCTTCTTCTTCTTCGTTCTTAATTTTTAGTGTTGGGAGGGATCGAGCCTTATCTGCCAGAGGGTTTGAACTCGAGACTTTTTTTCGAATTTATCAACCATGAGCTTTTGCCGACTCGACCATGAATAGAACAATAAATAAAATGGTTTTGAAAAATACTTCGACCCGAACATGTTAAGCAAGCTGCCTGATCTAAGTTTATATTCGGTTTGATTATAAGTGTCTCTTTAGTGAAGAATGAAAATGGAAACTGTTGTAAACGTTAGTTTTAAAAAATCGATCCCCTTCCACATGTCCTGGAGACATCTAAAGACACGCAGTTTTTGTTGTTTAGTGGGGACCACCGCCGATGCTAATGGCCAACATCCCCACTGTTTCTTACTCGCGGCATCCTCGGCCTGAGATGCAATGCTCAGCCCGAGACTCATAAAAACAAAATTAGCTCCTGGCTCCACAGTGCAAACAGCGTCACCTGCTGGTGGAAAAATAACCGCTAGAGCGCTAGTCGTAGGAGAAAATAAAATTACGGCTAAACTGCTAGTCGTTGGAGAGAAAACATTACGGTTAAACCTCTAGTTTTAGGGGAGAAAAATAACGTTTAAACCGCTAGTTTTAGGAGAAAACTGCTAGTCTGTAAAGAAAAAAATAGCTGTTAAACCGCTAGTCAGTTAAAAAAAAATGTTTAAACCGCTAGTCGGTAAAAAAAAAATAACGGTTAAACTGCTAGTCGAGAAAGAAAAAATAACGGTTAAACTGCTAGCCGTAGTAGAAAAAAAATAACGGTTAAACCACTGCTCATTAGAGACAACATAACGGTTAAACCGCTAGTCTTCGGAGAAAAATTAACTGTTTAAAATTAGTTGTAGAAAAAAAAACCCGTTAAAACGCTAATCGTTGGAAAAAATTAACGGGTAAAGTGCTAGTCTTGGTATAAAAAAAAATAACGTTACATTGTTTTTGTAGAAGAGTGTAAACGTTACATTTTTTCGCTTGAGAAAAAAACGCTACATTGTTCGTTGCAGTAAAAAAATGCTACATTGTTTGTTTGAGAAAATATAACCGTTACATGCATCATCGTTGGAGGTGAAAATAACAGAGCGTCAGACGTATGAAGAAAAAAAAATCGTTAGAAGAAAAAAACACACCAAAAAAGTACTAAAGCACCAGAAGAAATGTTGTAACAACAGGCCAGAAAAGCATTAGCACTTGATGTGTGTGTAGCAGGCGTCAGTTCATGAATCGCTCTCATTACGGCATGAATACTCGGGGAAATCCCGCGCTAGACATGGATTAGATTTTGTCGAGCACAGGAAGGAACGCAAGTCAGGGCGTAGAGTTTGACAGTTGAGATACTTCCGTCGCCTCGTCCTCTGTCCTCGGTCTTCAATATTTCAACTTAATGATCGATACATAATTAGCGTGTGTTCGCGGAAGAATCGTTGTGTGTTACGCTTGGTTGGATTTAGAATCACCAGATTAATGTATTGATTACGCTATTTTGTTTAACGAATTAAACATTGTGTGTTTTTTTGTGTGTGATTTTTTAGTTAATGGGGTTGTAGCTGGTTAATGCGTTAATGCCACTACAACAGGTTTAATAGAGAGGAGTCGCCAGTTGCTAATTAAGATATAGGGGCGAGATGTACCTTGAACGCATGTTTAATTATTGGGGATGTATGTTAATTGTGTTCATCTGTTCATTAGCGTGATGAAAGGTTCATTTATTTTGTTCAGTGACGTTAAGCATTTAATTACATGGCTGTAATTTCTGCCTGAAGAAGGCCTCTAGATTCTTGGTTTTTGTATAAGGCGTGGTAGGACAATACAGTATAGTATAGTAGCTTGGGATGGGGTTAAGATCAGGGTATTGTCAGGGTTAGGGGTAATGTTCGCTTCCATAGTACTTTCAGCGTTTTTACTAGTCCCTGATTCTTTACTCGATATTCGTGTCTGAACCTTGGCTGTCCAATAGTTGAGAATATTCCGGATGGTATGTCTATAGACTAGGTGATTCCATCCACCCTGTGTGTCTATAGACTGGGTGGATCCACCTACCCTGTGTGTCTCTAGACTGGGTGGTTCCTGACCTGTTTACTCACTAGATTTGACGCTGACCGTGTCTTAAGATAACATCTGTTATCCCGTGCGTTTAAAATACCCCTGCTGCAATTTGGCTGCAATACATTTATCAAGCTCTTAAGGATTCATTGAATTAAGTTATGGAAATTGTTATTATTTTAAAAAAAAATATTTAGATTATTTTTTATCAATGTTAGTCTTGGTACATTTCGCGGAATCGTCATTTATTGTCCGTAAGTAGCTATACACAAATTACTTACACCCTCTAAAAGTAAACAAGTACATTTTTAGATATATGTATATAGCACATGATGTAGAATAAAAGCTCTAAAGTACTATCGCATTCGAAATAGGGAAAAAATAAAATAATAAAAGGTTTTTTTTTCTTTGTTTTTTTTTTTGTGTGTGGAAAAGAACAACCACCCTCCTAGACAGATAAAAGAAACGTCTTTAATTTATTGCACTATTTCACGGTAAAATAAAACCACGGTTCGATTGTTTTTAAAAATGTGTAGCTTTTCTTATAAGTGGACTGTGTTATGCCCCGCTGCAAAAAAAAAAAAGTTTCGCATTTTTACTCAGTAAAGATTTATACTAAACTGTCAGAAAGTTGAGCTAAAGTTAGTATTGGTTTAGTGTTGTTGTTTATTGTTTTAAAAACAAAGACGCAGCATCGGAAAGACTCAGGGAGTTTGGTGATGAAACGTGACAGCACCAAACTCTTGATACGATTCATTGACTCACCAGCCTGATTTCATGAGCAACACTGCCGTGACGGTTAGCTCGTTTATCAGCAACAACCTCAGGAAAATATTTTGAATCGTAGCCAACGTGACTTGTATCATTTTTTAAAAACCCAGATTCTGTTTATCAAGGTGGGAAGGTGGGTCGTCAATAAGTTTACAGATG